ATATCATTGAAAAATAATTTGTAGAAATGTTCTTTTTATTTGACATCACCAGTATATATATATAATATATATATTATATATTATTAATTATTAATTGAAATTTATCGGACTGATTATTATAAATTTCTTAAACTAATTTTTGTCCAAGACATCAAACGATTATGACCAATAAACAATATTGTAAAAATAAAATCGAATACCTAAGCGACATTCCTTTTAAAAGAAAAACCAATTTCGTTCGATCTTATTAATTTTTTGCTATAATAACAAAAATAATTACAATAAACACCAAAAACTACCTATATGCATAAATAGTATGTGTACACATACGCTGTAGTTTTTAATTTAAAAAAGATACAACTTTTTTCATTTTTGTAATATCCATACATCGAGTTTAAATTATTCATATAATAAATCAGTTTATGCTCGCATAATTATATCATTGAATATGAACTACCCACCGTCTCTTAAAGGTTACGTATGCTTAAACTTTCATGTAGTGCATACGCTCATTGTACCTATAAATTATAATATATATTACTAAGGAACAACAATGTGTATGTTGTGAATTTTGAATTTATAAATCCTATAGGCTCTAACACTTTGTCTGGTCTGCTATACGGATATGTTAACTCCCTAACAAATAACTATGCCTAGTTAAATGTACGACACAATATTTAATTTTAATGGTGTTATACCAGCTACACTTAAGTACACGCATAATAAAACAATATATCATTATGTGTTAGATATTTTGATTTTCGTTTTGTTAGGTAATATTTAATTTAATGTTAGGAAATAATAACATGTTATTAATTGCCATACGTATATTATAATAATATAGGTACCGAAGCTTCACTAGGTACTCCTCAATTTAATCTATATATAATAATTTTGTTTGATTTTAAATTGGTATAATATAATATTATACTTATAAATTGTTATGACTTAATAATTACTTATATCACTAAATCAAAGGTTTTTAAAAGAAATACCAACAGTAGTGAGTTTTTATATAAGTGTTTTGACACGCATGCGTCCATTGTTGTGACATTCCTATCATAGTTCACACCGAGATCAGTATCTAAATCGAAATGAATATTAATCTCGACTTAATAATATCAGTGTGTGTCTGGAATGTACGACAGAATTACAAAAACGTAATTCACGTGACCTATGTGTGCATATTGTAGGGGTACCCACAGTTCATTTTTGTAGAAAGTAAAAATTACGTTAAAATGATCACCGCTCTATAATTGTGTTAAAAGCTGTAATTTACTCAAGTACAAAATTAATGAGCAAATTAAAATACCGGACACGTTGAATTTATTTTCAACGTAACCCTTTCCGCGTTTTGTTGCATTAAATGCAAATCGCATTAATACAATATTATCTCATAGTAGTTATTTTGCTGCGAGCATTTCAGACTGGATAGGAAACTTAACGCGTTACCTATTATATTATTATAATATATCTCATTCTTGTGCGTATTTAGTATATTATAGATCGTTTATCCTTGACTATAATACTGGTATTTGTGGGTAACGTCAAATGATGTGTTTATTTTTTAAATTTTACTTTCATTTCGGTTCGTTATTATTTTATTTGCTTCACCAGGAAGCTCGAGGAAGGTTGCCCCGCGCGATGATGTTGTGATATATTCCCATTGATAATGTCTTATCTGATTTCGAGTGATAATAAAAAATAAGTATACATACATATGTGACGTATAATATATGTATGAAGAATTTAAGAATGCAAACGGTTCTCTCAGACCATCATCCGCGTAATACTACACCAAACGGCGCATGGTATAAAATCAGTCCTAAGAAACGAGGACCAAACACACCAGGGTTATTGCTGGCGTGTTAAAAACGATGAAATTAATTTTTCAACTAACGGTCAGTTAGTTTATTTAGATACCATATTATATTTAGTGAATTAATTATGCGTAACGTCGCACGTTGTAACGAATCTTTCGGATTTAAGTATCAACATGCACACATATTATATACATTATAATTTATAGGTTATTATTATATATGATATACCATACGTTTATGGGATTTCGAAGAGACATTCCATTGTATATTAACGGAAGTGAGTGTGTCTAACTCTTTGTTTACCAGTACCTAAGAACTGCATTAAATAACTAATATATAGTTTTACAATCAAATAATATTGGATTTATTTTAATGTAATAATGTTGAAAAAATTTTAAGATTTCATAACATAATATTATCTGTTGCAGGTATAGTTACTATAGTGAATAAAGGTGAGCGGAGTGTTATAACTTATAAACCTTGTTTTTTGAGAACGAACCAAATTAAAATCAAAATTACAAATTGTATTTAAACCTGAACCCTATTAAACTATTCAAATTTTATATTTGAACTAAATCAAATAAGTACTTTTAAACATTTTATGAAGTATTTTTCCAAGGAAGCGACATGGTACATAGAGGCGAGAGCTGCTCTTCGAGTATACACAGGGTACTAGCAGCGTTCTGGGGATCTTTGGGGAATGGAAAGACTATAGGCAATGGGTATAAATATCTCAGTGTGTTGGTTACAAACCAGCCACTGCCAAATCGGGTTTATAGCGCAGATTGGTCGAATCCAGTGGAGATTGGACGATAAGGTTGATTCCAAACATTAAAAGGTGATTTGACAAGCCTTCTCTCTATACCACCTTCTACCACGTAATCGTAAACTGGACTCGTGTACTTCTAGAACTATTTCCATTGACTTAACCCTCAAAACACCGTCAAGCAGTCTTTCCATATTTGAAGTTCAAACCCAGAAGGATGGCTTTCATCAACATCATACATTTGAGGACATTCTAACAGAGAAAAAGAAGAGGACGAGAGGGAGATCCGAACTAGTAGTCTAGGTGTCAGGTTTCGAACGTCGATCTGAAAAGAGGCCAAGAGGCCCATAGATAGAGATAACAAAATATTTCTCTATTTATTCCACCTAACTCTTTAGGGAACTTACTGAGAAAATATGGGTGTGAAGAGTCTTATAAGTTATAGATTTAATCCCGTATTTTCTTTCAGAGAAGTAATTCGTAAATATAAATTTATAGTCAGTTAAGATGTAGGTGTAAGCCAAATTACTCACCTTGTGTCCTTGCACGACATGTACACTTTGTATTGATACTTTTCAAGTAATTGTATTTTTACATTTGAAATTTTAGTATTTAATCAACAACGATAGTTCAGAATAGTGATACCCTCGGTTTACCACTTCACGAGTCACCAGTTAGTAACTCTGCAAAAGGTACTTATGATTATTAAGATTGAACATTGTATGGAGAAAAGAACTATAGAATATAAAATGTTAAAACATAATATTATACAAGTATAGAAATTGTTATTAAAATAATTGTAGCTTACCATATTGGCCAATAAAGAATGTATAACGCTCGTATTGTTTCTATATCTAACCACGGATCTATTTAAATAGGGAAAGAGTTTACTATAGTGAACTCTTTTTGGATATAATATTATATCGGCCGTTTCGCGTTTTATTATTAAACTTATAATAATATACATAAATAGTTTGTCGTCTGCAGTATAATATAAAATATTGTATTGTTTATAGTATTTTTACGATTATTATCGTCGAGAATATTATTTTAATAATAATAATATGTTGTTGGTTTTTTCGTCCACTCACGACCCACGTGCGCATTCCACATTACAAACATTGAGTGAGCAAGCAGTGTTATATATTTCATTATATTCATAATATTCGTCATTCACGCTAATGTGACACGATCGAGTCCCATTGGTGACCGTTGTTTTTTTCTTTTTACACAATAATATACAATATAGCTGACGTATGGTAGAACACACAGACAGACTATACAGAGATCGTACTGTTCACGGGGTAACTATATTAATATAATTGAAAGGAGTTCAAGTTCAGCCTGCACACGGAGGTATACAGCTCTTTGTCGGCATGCGGTGCACAAGTCGACGTCGTGTATATATACTGCGACGAAACCGAAATGTATATTCCTTACATTATAATAATAATAATAATAATAATAATAATAATAATAATAACGATAATAATAATAATAATACGACAACAAATAGTACAACAATAATAGAAATAATATTAATACGAATAATGAATGGGAAGCTGCACTAATAAGTCGGCTTAAAATAGAAGAAAAAAAAATCGAAATCACATTCGTAATATTATTTTATATTATTATAACGCGTTGGCTATTGTTTCACCGCCTAGACGACCAACAATAGTAATTGGCCGTCGGTCCTCTGTGTGTCCTGCGTCGTATATTATACCGCCAATGATGCAGTACTATAGTTATATTACTTATTATAAAATTGTACCTATGTAGGCACATATTGTAGCTGCAAGTCCAGTAAACGATAATAATATTATAACCTATGTTATAGAGCAAACTACACCATAGGTATTCGCGTTTCTAGGGGGAGGGGAAAACATTTATATAATAATATATACATGCAGACATGCTCCTTCAGTATATATTTATGGGGTATTGTTCGTGTATGGTATGGGTTTATAAATCTACATCCCGTAACAATAATACTTATTAATACTAATAAAAAAGTACGTAACTCCGAGTGATATCCGTTTCCATAAAACAAATAAAAGGATTTCAAAAAATAAAGTTTGAAACCAATGATATTATTGTATTATGTAATCATGGAGTGCTGAGGAATAGTTCTTTGAATTTTTTTAAGAATACTGATAATGTACGAAAAAAAATGTGCTGCATTGCTTCACATGGCGGGTTCCCCCCTTTGTATTATAATATAGGTACTCATTATGACATTGTTACAATCATGGTTACAAGTTTCTGGTCAACCCATTCCTTATGAGCGAGTGATTATAGGACCGTGGGAGGTGTTAGATATTGTAATATAACATGGTCAAGTATACTATGGTAAACATAGAAATATTTGCACCAAACGATTTTTTCATCCGACCGCCAATAATAATATATTATACTTGTTGCTCTGTTTGGAGCGAATTTTGGAGTCGCATACAATCTTTTGTCGGTTCCGGGATCACATATTGTACTTTAGTCTTTAAATGTTGACGATCGTTTGGATGTGTTAAATCGCATCTGTAACTTGTAAGTATAATACAAAGGTAAAGACGTTGCCGCCGATTCATGCTACAATACGGCAATGTTCGCTGTTCAGACCCGGACCCGGAAGTAGTCGATGACGAGTATCGTTGACGTTTTCGCAGCAGTCGGCTGGAACTCGGAAGTGTCATTGCGGAAGTCAATATATATATATGATTTTCCGTGGCGGAACTTTCAACGTGACACCCCGGGAAGTATATAAATGATAATATAGTTACAGGGAAAACAATAAAGGAATTTAGGTCGATTTCGTAAATCACAACATTATAATATTAAATGGCTTAGTATTTTTTTATGTGATTCCGATAATACTTAAAAAATTTTATTATGCGTATTTTCAAGTCGTTTAATGAACCGTTATTTTAAATCTCATTAATGGGAAGTGATAAAAACGAACGAGTTCTATAAACTTTCAAACGAAGTTTAAACTTAATACTATAATACTATATAATATATATTAGTATATTATACGTACTCATAATGCGCGTTATATTATTTACAATTATTTTCTTTATAACAATAAATTAGATTTACCTAATGTCAAGACAGATTTTAGATTTGTATCTAACGGAACAACGCCAATAGTGATTGAAGTCTTCGAAATATGTAAAATCTCCCAAAAAAAAAAATGTTTAAATTAATTTTATTGTTTTTTTTTTTATTATGCAGAATATACTGTACAATACAAGTCATTGTTATTTGTATATATTTTATATATAAAATATACCTACACATCTATATATATATATATATATATATATATATTAATATATAGATGGATTAGTTTAAAACGTTGTCTCATAATATGTGCTATTGAAAATAGATTTAGACCTATATGTGAATTGAAACCACTGTTTGCTTTAAATAATATTTGAATACAATACTTTGTATAATAACATTTCGTTCACTCATTATTGTTAAATTTTACACTTTGAACACAGTTAAACATTATTATACATTTTAGAATTATTTCTAAAATATATGTACCTACAAGATAAAAATTATATAAACACATAAGTCATACATATATACCGCATTTTATAATATACACGTATAAAAAGGTACAATTTATACGAGGATTTTCAACACTGATTGTACCGTCCACGTTCGTATAAACTGCACTCGGCAGCCAGGAAATTAAGTTTAAACTTAGCCCATTAAAAGTTAAATTAAACCGGCATCGGTTCGCAGAAATTATTGTAAGTCAAATCGCTAAGTATAAGTTAAATAACGCCAGTGTTTATGCATACAAATATACAATATAATAGTTTCATATTATATTACAAATATTAATAATACGCGTATGGAGTAATTATTTTTTTGATCACAAATTCATAAAATCAGAATAAAATATAAATACGCTATAAAATTATTACGTCTATAGGTTTTTAACTGTACCAGCTAAAATGCGTGTCTACGTGAATTTGTTTTACAATAAATTATTATTGTGTTTCCATGTGTAATTTTTTATTACTTTGTTTTGTGTGCGTAGACAGTATACTATATGCGCGTATTAACACTTTGTTTTTCTGATGAAAAAAGTACAAAAAGTTTTATGTAGTCTCGTCGGTTCACATCCCACACAACTGAAGTCGAGCGAAACTGATACTTTGCAGAAAAGATTATTTTTGGATCTTAACAAGAAAATTTCATAGCAAACATCATTGATTTAACGCAAATGGCGACACACTCATATTCACGCTGTTATAGACACAAATAATATTTTAATTATTTATTATTATTATTGTTTAATTAGAGTAATATTTCGTTTCTCAGATTATTATTATTTATTAAAAAGTCAAAACGTTACTGTACATATTATTATATTATTATTATCACATCACATTAACTAATATAATATAAGTACGAATTTACGTATCTTTACAACTGGTGTTACTTCCCAAATATTTTTTTAAAAATATTGCGAAGTTTAATACTATATACCTAGTGTACTAGTGTTATACTGAAATCATTGAAACTTTAATTATTCTTTTGTAGTAAACAATACTTATACCTTTCACTACAAATAATAAATGATTATAATTCGTAAATAATGACTATCAATTAAGAGTTAAGATGTATAATATTGGCTTATAATCATTAATAATCGAAGTTTAATTCTGCATTATTTTAAAATTGCATTAATATGTAAAAAAAAAAATTTATTTGATTATTTAAAAAATAAAATACATATTTATATATATTACTATATTACTATATCATATTAGCAATAATACATTTTTTAAAAACCAACAAGTGTAACACTAGTGCAGTTATACATTGCTAAAATACCCATTTCACAAAGTATCTATTTTGTATATGGATTGAAAAAATAGAATTAACTTGTTGTTAAGTTAGAGTTTAATATAGAGTGGACAGGTTTTATATTATTATTCTGCACTTAAATGCCTATGAGCACCCTTATAGCTAAATGCTATTAGAACCGCGTCCACTAATATTATTGTTTTAAATGTATATATTGTTTTATTTGTATGTATGATATTGTGTTACAATCACATTATACCCATACCTATTTTCTATAGAACCAGTTATACCCACCCACCTACCTACTGGCAGTATTGTAAAAAATACTTCTAATAGAAAAGTATTTATTAAGTATCTAATAAAAAGTATTTGAAATAATCTGAAAAAAAAAATTTATTTAGCTCTGATATAATTTGTTATAATCAAAAATTTGTTTATTGTATTTTAAAAACATGATATGGTTCAATAATCAAAATGCTGATCAGTCATGTTAGTTCTTTTTTAGTGATAGTGATGTTAGTTTAATTGGTTTAAAGCTATAGGTATTTGGATATCCCTTACCGTCATCTGCAATAAACGATAATGTTAATATCGATAACCATTTTCTTGGTAAATAGGTAGTACTAATAATTTGCGTATTATTAAATTATAAAGTACCTATAATAGCTGTTACACAAAAGCTTATTGAATAATATATATTTTTTTATTGACTTAATAAGCTAATTTTGGTACCGATGTACCGTTTCGATCGTCGTCAACAATAAACTGGTTCCTGGAGAAACTTTTATTTAAGGTATTGGTCGATGAAAACCGATATCGAATTTTCCATACATTTTTTAAATATTTATACTATAATATAATATTGTTGTAATGTTAAAGGATAACCACGACGGCGTGGTATTTTTATTTAACAATAGGATTTTAAAAAGAAACAAATGTTAAGAATTAAAAGCATAAAAAAAAAGTATTCCAATACAAACGTTTTACTCAAATACTTTACAACACTGCCAACTGGTGATATTTACTAGTACTTTTTTATAACATATTAAATGAATAATGAATATACGATTCAGATAAACATTACCTCGCCTAATAACCTTTGGACGTTTATTTTCTTTTGATATGAATGGAAAGGAACGATTTAAAAATAAATCTGTCTTACATAATATTACTATATCGTGTCATAAAAATATAACACCGGTAATAGATTAGGTATAATGTAATACAACTATAGCTGGTATTATACAAGCAATAGCAATATCTCTATAGGCAGGTAAATCATAATAAATTCATCACATTATTATAATATTGTAATCTGGTATAGTCACTTCCGTAGGGCATTGACTTCTAATTAGTGTTTCTATAAACTTTTTAATTAACTCCAGAGTTAATTGGATTAATATATCTATAAATTAATATTAAATACAGGATATAATAAATTTTAATGTGCCACAATAATGAATAATATTAACATTTTAAATCGACATTTTAATAAAATCCCATGTAATTACCTATATTATCTGGGTCATTGAGTGTAGTTTAAGCTGCGCCGGCGTAGCCTCCTCCGAAAAATGTTTACCAATTTTCAACTATTTAAACTTTAAAGTATTTTAAACCCATTCCATTGGCTATTAAACATAAATTATTGATTTCGAAAACTGAATAAAAACTGCAGTACCTACTTAATAATATACTGTATTGGTAATTTGCACGGTTTGCATGATTGCATGATAGTCCTGTCTATTACTCTAATATTTAAGTTAGGACGAGTGCGTGTTGTCGTATTAATTCTAAAATAGTTTCACTAAAGTCTATAATACTGAGTGTGTTTAGATCGTAATTGATTTGCTAAGAAATCAAAGATAGTTAATGTTTTAATATTACCTCTCTGATTGTAGATAGTAATTTAAAAAATTATATTTTTTAAAGACTGCAGTTCAAATAACCCGTCACTGTAGTCAGTTAATATAATAAATCTTTGATATTTAAGGTCTTTGCAAAAAGTATAGGTACATTACAAAAATGTCAAATAATAAATTGAATTATATGCTTTTTTAATAAATCAAAATTAATTTCCAAATCAATTGGTTGATTATAGATTGAGAGTTTACTTACTACCTTTAAAAGTAGTTATTAAAATAAATATATAGATACACTAGTCACTAATAGTTTTCTTCGCATCTGGCTCGGTTCAATATTTTGAAATTATGTAATTATAGTTTTTATAATATAATATCATACAATATATAATTATAGTTTTAACTGGATCAAGAGCATAGTTCGATTTAATGTATATAATACACTTTATTGTTCTAATAGGTGTTTTATAATACAACAATATAAATATAGGTAAATATATGTAATAAAATATTTCAATATTTTAAAAAAAAAAACCAATTATCGGTTGGTAGGTACTATTACTGTATATATTTAAAACATTTCTAAATCGTACTATATAATTTTTTAGATTCTGAGCGAAGCGAAAGAATGCATTATAAATTCATGATAATAAAATATATTAAAAAACTATTTAAGTAGGTACGTAGGTATAGATACGTCATTTTATTTTTATTACGCATTTTCATTGCGTTATTAACAATCAACAAGATAATGTATATAATGTAATGTGATTATATACTATATTATATTTATTTGCAAATCCAAAGTGATGATTTTGTTTGAACCCATATATGGTAAACTCAGAAAGTTTGCAACAATAACAGTCGTAAGATCTATCAATGAGCACCAATTAATCGACTTTCTATCGATTTTATAAAAATCCTAGTATGAATTTCTTGGAAACCAGCAGATTAGAAAACGATACCGATCACAATTTTATGAAACAAATTTATTTTTTACCTTTTCG